TACTACGTACATTAAAAAGAAACAACTCTCGAACACCTCGTTTAACTGTAGCGATCCACCAAAATCGCACGTTAACACTACTAATACTTGTTGATTTACAATTTATTACTTTAATTTGTATTATTAAAAATATATCTTATTCAATTTAGAAAATGTTTAAAAAGACTTTCTTAATTCTTTCTTATGAATTCTTGAAGAACAATGGCTTTTTAATATTCATGTAAAAAAAATCTACTATCAATAATATACAATATTACAATATATGCATAAACTAAGCATCACTTATTTCCAAAAATGTTAAAAACTTTTTATATAATTCTTTAGCGTCTGTCAATGCATTAATAACCTTTGGTCTTTCTTGTGGATTTGATTTCATTAACTTTTTACCAAAATCTGTAATTTCACTTGGTAATCTGAATGAATAATCAATAATGAGAAATCCAACACTCCAGATATCTGTTGATATATCATGATATCCTTCCCTAATTTCTGGTACGTGATTATTTTTCTCTAATCCTTCTTTCTTCAAATATTGAGGTGAGTAACAAGCAAATTCAAAATCAATGAAAAACCATTTGTCATTATCACGATACTTCATAATGTTTTACCAACGTATATCACGATGCATTATTAGAATATTATGCATCACCTATAAATTAAGAAGGTAATAAGTATATATTTTGCTTTAGAATTTTCAAAGATTCCTAATAAATTTACCTATAGTGCTTCTAGAACACAGCATACTGCAAATAACATTTCCTTTAAATCTTTTGGATATAATACATCTCCTTATGGTTGAAAATAGCATGCATCATTTGAGCTTTTGTAGATCTTTTCAATATTAGACATATTATTGAGTATTTTATATATTTCATTCAAATGTTTAATAATACTTTTTTTTTGTATATTTTTCTTACTGCTAAGCCAAGGAAGGTAATGGTTATTCTATTTCTTGATATTATTCCATACTCTGGATTATTTTTTCTTTTGCAGAGTGAAGCAAGAGAAGGAAGAATTCTAGAAATATTTCTACAAATGTTCCATACAATTATTCTGTTCTTCAAAAAAAATAAATCATATGGACCACCAATATCAAGTGTACGAATTTTCTTGTTTTCCTTGTATATTGCACAAAATACCACATTACTTTCAATTGAATAATATGCTAACAAATATGGTACAGCATCACCATAATCCCAAATTATTTTTTCTGTTAGTTCTTGTGATGAATCTCCTGCACTATCAGTTCCTTTTTCTTCTCCTCGCCAAATAGCATTATTGAGTATACATCCAGCAGTATCAGGTCGTTTATGTCCTATGCTTGTATTATAACACGTATTTCGACTAATTGTTATACCATCAGTAAGAGTTTCAATTGTGTATTTAATACAAGTATCAATGCCTATATGGTAGTAATCTTCTGTATTACCTTTTACAAATGACCGTTGCTCTATATTATGATCAATCCATTTGGACACCGTGGCATTATAAACATATGAATCCAATGCTTCTAAACCAGCTGAAACAAAATATTGATCTAATAGAATTTTTTCTGTCATTCGTGACAAATCTTTGGAATGAAGAATGTCTTCATAAAATTGCACGGAATTTGCAATTTAGTTATTAGCAATTTAAGTATAAATTTCAGAAGCTGATGGAGGGTAGGTAATATTTGAATCTCAGGCTTCAACATTAGTTTACGAGAATTAATAAATTCTAAAGATGCTTTATAAATAAAACAGTGAGTATACTATTTAGTTATCGAATATTATAATATTGAAATTCATATAAAGGATTATGAGTAGAATGTTGATGTGACTTACAGTGCATACCTAAAATATAGAGATAATAAGTTTTGGATAAATAACAACAAGAAAAGGTATAAATTAGTTATTGTAACCAATACAAAATGCTCTCTCAAACAAATAAATAAACGAAATGGAATGAATGGAAAATAATTTTTGTATTTTTGTTTATGCAATTTGTTCGTTACCTTCTTCTTTGCCAAAGTTAACTAACATAATTTATAAATTCTCCATTTGTTTCAACCTATCTTCTACTGACCTTGTCAACCTCTTCTTTTCTTCTATTAAGTAATCAAACTCCCTTCACGTCTTTCTGCTTCTCCTCTTCACAACTGGTTCAGCCTCTCCTCCCAATTCTCCTTTCATTCCTCTAACTGCTTTTTCGCATCTTTGTGCTCACTCTCGGCCTTTTCTAATTGTTTTTTGATATCGTTGTAAGATGTCATTTTTTAAGATTTAAAATTTTTTTAATTTTTTTAATTGTTAAATTAGTGGAACATGACCTGTGATGTCATATGACAATGTCAACAAAACAAAAATTAGTTGCGATTGTGACCAAACCAATGAAAGTTCGTATTACTTTGATAAGCATAATATCTCTTTTGTGCTCCTTCTTGTTTAGAATTATTTTGTTATTTTTTTCCCACATACTCTCTTCCCTCTTCAAAGATAATTCATTTTTTTTAACTTTAACCATACGAAAGTATTTAAATAAACGTTAAAAAGTTTAATTATTAAAAAGATAAAATTTAAAGTTACACAACTTAATTTGTGACTCGTGAAATACAAATACTCTACAGGAGCATAGTTAAAAATCCATTTATTGGACAGATTTCACATGTTGATCAACATTGATTTACCAATAAAAAGATTTGATTTCACGTGATAATTAATTTTAAATTCATATCGCATTTATCGTAATAAATTATTAAAAAAGAAAAATCACAAAATTACTTCTTTATAAATTTTTATTAGTATACTTGCTTTTTGTTTAATTAAAAATTCACATTCTGAGTAAAAACTAATAAAGATAATTTCAAGTTAGTTAAACAATTATTTTATTGTAATATTCTATTTAATACCTGGAATTGTTTTCGCTAGTTCCTTGTCTATATCTTTATTATTACAATATTCAATTTTTTCTGCTTGTTCAAATAAAATATCATCAACAAGAGGTAAATCAAACTCATTTTCAATGTCAGGTTCCATTTGTAAACGTTCATTAAATAATTTTGTTAATTCATCAATAGATGATGAAAGATATTCAAAGCAATAAATGCATTTTGATTCCACTCTTAAAAAACAT